TTGTTATGTTGATCTGATAGGTGCGCTAATTTTGTTTTAATTTTTTGATTTAATTTTAGGTTTGAAATAGTAAGTTTTGTGCTAGTGGAATTGAAATGTAATAAATTTAGCTGCTCGACCATCAAGGGCCTATTAAAGTAAAACCTTTTGAGGCCATTGTCTGTGGGGAAAAGTCTTCATGCTGTACCCTACACCCCTTGGTATGTTTTGTTTCCTATCACGTGATAGTAATCGAGATAACTGGTTGTTTACCATTTACCAAAATTTTCCAGAAAATCCGTTTGGAAAGTAAATGGCGCACGACTTTTTGGGTCGTTCCACTAAAAATTTCCGGTAGCAATGGAACATCTGAAAAGGTAGTCCTGTTTTTCTGGACGGAATATTCCAAACGGAATTTCGCGTCCCATTTCGTCAAAGCCATCTTTGATACCGGGTTCAGGCCTTCACGGCCGTTTTTTTTGGTAATAAACGCGATTCCGGGACGAAATTTACGAGTCCTGAATTTTGTGTACCATCTGCCCAGACCGTGGACCGACCGGTTTGCCCATGTAAATGGCCTCTTGTTCATTCAAATTTCTTCTTATTCCCGTGTATATGTACGCTTAATTTATAAAAGGAAAGCTAAAGGAAAGAGGGTCAAATTCCTCTGAGACATTCTTTACAAACTCAAGAGGTCTAGTGCAAATGTCCTGCCGGTTTATGTCGCTCGGTGTATGACGTCATGAAAACAAGCTCGATCAATGTCATTAGACCTAAATAAAAGAATCGCGTCTTTACGTATACCGAGAAATTTGATATTTTGATTCGTAACAGAGATAAACCTGACCCACGTGACCAGGCTTTGAGTTCACGTTTGCGGTTTTTAAAAGCGAATTTTTATCGCAGAGAGGCAGGTTTTCACGTATGTCATTTACCTGAGCCGGCTAGTGCAAAATTTGAATTCAGATATAAAAGCTTAAATAGCGAATTCAGTTAAATTCTTTTTGCCTGCAAGTTGATGATTGGAAGCTCTAAAGCGAATTTAGAAAATTCATCGATAAAATGCTTTTGAACAAAAGAAAAGGAAACGGGATAGGCCATTTGCACTAAGAGGTCATGTGACATCGTTTTTATGAAAATGAAAGTTATGTGATTTTGCCTTCGAAAAACGGTTAGAGGGTCATATTTTAAACAACATAATAGTGTTTTGGTTTTTCAAACCCGCACCATTTTCTGAAAATGAGTAAGTTCGTAGGTGGTCAAGTGAGCAAAATGTGATTTTTAAAATTATGAATTACCTCTCTCTGAACGCAAATTTTACACTTAAACTTCAAGGTAAATGTTGAAAAGATGATGCGGTAACGTTTACAGCACATCTGAGCGTGACTATCAAACGTTTAACAAGATATAAGCAAAACGTAGTTTTGACCGCCATGTTGGAGGGCAAGAGTGTGCCCTCCAACATGGCGGCCAATACAATTCATACTACTTTGCTGAAAAATCGAAGTGCCATAAAATATCTCCCTTAAACGTGTTTCCTCTCAAATTTCGGGTGTAAGATAATTTTTATGTGCTCTGTCAATTTTTGGCATCAGCAAGATTCCAAGTCATTGTTTAAAGGAAGCATTGGTCACGTGACCACTTAGAACAAGTGTCCTATCGGATAATCGACCTTCGAACAACTGGGCAGAGTTGTAATTTGTAGAAAAAAAGCTTACAAGGCGAATGACAGCGACGCTATAAACAACTCCGCACGTGCTAAAAGCCATGCCGGAAATAAACCTCTGCTGGCTCGGTATAAAGAGGCCACAGAATTATTGGTTTGCATCCCCTGGGAGCTAATCTCTTTTCATGCAAACTTCGCAACGAAAATTTGCAAATTTTTTGTTTTGTCACGAAGCATGTTCACCTTATCACGTGCTTGCAGACTAAGAATTCTTTTGCTACCGCCGTCTTTGAATAAATCAACTCACTTCGTTCGTCACGAGCAATCACTACATGGAACAAAGTGGAAGAAATCTTTAAATTTACGCGTTGTAATAAGGAAAACGCTTAATACTGTAGATGCATCACTTAGCACCTTTTGAAACAGCAGCTCAAGTACAGCAGAAAATACTTCACCTTTGTGTGGAATCAAGACCTTTAGCCGGACTCGATGAGATTAGGATGTGGTAGATTCAGTCATGGTTGATGCGACAACTAAAACCCTCGGAAACGAAAATAACGACGCGAAGCAAAGTAAGTGGGACCGTTTTATCGATGTTTTAAAATAAGCTTTTTACTTCTTAGCGAATATAAACGTACATGTTTCGACTCGATCTATTCAAATCGAGTTTTCTGTCGACAATAGGTTGCTACATGCATAACAAATGCATGGGGCTGCACGGACAATTAATCGAACACTTTAGGTGACTTTAACATGGCACCGAATAAATTTTCGCCCGGCTGAAAAATTTGAGTGGACACTTCGTTCACACGGAACCGTTCAATATTTTTGCTCTTGACAACTGATGAAAAAGGTTAAATTTTAACTTTTGGCAGTGGTTAACTATCTGCCCATGCGCAGAACTTTACTTTAGCAAATTCAAAATAACGTCTCCCTCCTTCGCCCTACATAAAAATTAGCCGGTTTAGTCCATGGGCCAAGTGGCTTTTCATTACCACTCGGGGGGACAAAGGCTACTATATATCAAATTAAAGCTTATCATGTGTAGATTTCAAAAATATATGATGGAAATGTTGTAAGAGTAGCTTAAGGGAGTCACGTGACCTTGAATTTTGCATAATTAGCATAAATTGATAATATACTAAAATGCGGCTTTTAGCAAGTAAGGCTGTAGATTCTGCATAAAATATAGCAGGCATAGACAAGATATAATGTCTGTAAAGTATTTTGTCACTTTTAAGGATAAATAGTCACGTGGCAGTGACGTCACTTCCGGTCACGGTAAAAAAAACACTCAATTTTTGTCTATATTTTTACTTTTTCCCCTTTTTTCTTTTATGTGATTCAAAAATACAATTTAGAGTATTTTTACCATAAAAAGCACTAAAAGATATAGCAATTAGCATTATTCTAAATGTATGTTCAAATAAGAATTAAACTGGGTACCCTGTGTTCTTAGCATGATAAGTGTTTCTCATGGGTAGCTGATATGTTGAAAATGCTACACCCACACTCAAGAGACTTCAGTCAAAGTGAACGTGCGCTTCATCCAGGTCTACCTGGATGTCCTCCTCTTCATCTGGCTGGTTAGAACAAGTTATTAGGCGGCAGAGGTCGGAGCACTTTAAGCCATTTCGAATGTAGTCACAAGAATCATCATTACAGGCCTTCTTGCACATACATGACATAAGCTCTATTACAGCTGTTGGTGCCGGGAGTCCACTCATCCAGTCTATCACCAATCTCTCTTGAGCTCCGTCATTTACAAGAGACCAGCCATGACCAACTGGGGATGGAATGTCGTTGTTTCGTAGAGAATTTTTCCATATCGCCGCTTGATAGTTGGCTTTTGAAATCTACACACGATAAGCTTTAATTTGATGTATGGTGGCCTTCGTCCCCCCAAGTGGTAACGATCCGCCATTTTTAGCCACTTGGCCCATGGACTAGTTATGGTTTTCACAGCGCGCCGATCAAATTTGCCGTATAAAGGTTTAGACGGTTGTGGTGTTTACATCATGCTGGCTGCCTCGTACCCAGGCGCATCCTAGCGGATTCGAGAGCGACTGGGATTTTGGTTCCGCGCTAGGTATCATGGGAAAGGCGAAGAGAAAAACGCGCCTCTCATTTTTCTCATTTACCCTTCCCAGCGTCCATTGCGTTCACGCTAAACGTTCCCATGGTTCATTGCGCGATACTCCTTGATGGCTCGTGCATTCGCGTTTTCGGTTTTCCGCACTTGAGACGCCTAGGAACAAGGTAGCCACGCCGGTCAAATTTTCAACAGTGCGCGGCTAAAAATTTGACCTCCATCTGGCGTTTAAACTTTTGAACGGCAAGGCGTCTTAATTTTCATATGGTTAACAGGGGTTGCGTGTGAACGGTACAACTAAGGCACGAATTTTCAACCGGTCGAGAATTCGTCCGGTGTCGTGCAAAAGAAGCCTAATTAGTCCTTTTATTAATAAAACATTTGTCCGTGACGACTGTTTTAAGGTAGAGCACCGTGGGGGTGGGGTGGAAACAGTACCGTGAACGCACATTCGGGAGACTGGAGTTGACCGCTTTTGGGAATATCCCTTGGAAGCGGCCACTTTCAATACGAGAGATGCTCTGCCGTTTACAGGTTTTGCGGTCTTAAACTGCAACCGAAAAATGACAATACAACTAATAAACGAACAAATGATGGCCATGCAGAAAACCGCATTGCAGTATTAGGGATAGCCCTGCGGTGTCCATTCCCTCGAACGTGTCCGTGGTCGCTCGTGGGAGTTCAAACAGGGTTTTGTCAAAGCGTCCACAATCAGAGCTGTCGGCTGCGTACTAGTGTCCATGAGACAACTCTTGGTCTTAAATTATTTTCTTCGACGGAGAGAATACGCAAGTTTTTATAGAGCGGACGTTCTACTTGAAGGAGGATCTCTGCATGACGCGCAAAAAGGGAGGGCGCCTGGGTACAGGGTTCCAGTACAGAATACTGTTCGTAGGTTTTTTTGTAGCCTGACTTTCTGGCGTTTCTGGGAGAAAAGGGGAAAGATGGAGGTGAAAAAGGAAGAGAGCTGAAGGAGAGAAACGCCTTCCTTTCTTTTCCCCCTCCCCCATCTAAAATCTCCTCTCCCCTAGCCCCTTAGGAAGGCCTGATACTCAGGCTAGATTTTTTTTTTCACTAAATCACTCTCTCCTTCGCAGAGGCCTCTTTGTGTCGTAGGGAGCCTGGGGAGAGGAAAAAAAAAAAAAAGCGTGCGGGGAAAGATGGGAAGAGTCCCCCCGCCCCGCGCTTAATTATTGCTATTTTTATTGGAATACCCAGCGGGAACCTCTGCGGAGGAGAGAGCCTAAATCAGGCTTTTCTTTACAGTGATAAAAGGAAAAAGTGAAACTTCGCATTTTCAAAATTGGTACTTTAATGCCGGCCCTCAAGGCGACTGATAATCTATGAAATTTGAGGCACACAATTAACTCGTTACTCTAAGCTAATTTTGTAAGGGGAACTTAATTATTACCATGAATTAAATCTTGTTGTCTAAGCATATTTTTTACTGGTTCAATAAGTTCTCATAAAGGAGAACATTTTCAGCACTAACTGCCGAAGAACTGGTATACCTTCCCTTTGAGAGCACGTTTGAGCCTGATTATTTTGAAGTCATAATTAGGGTGTATTGCAAATGAGCTTTATCTAAGGTACGCGGTTCAAACGATGTATTTCACATGTGCCGAATTTGATGTCGCTTATGAGTAAAATCTACTGTTTTCACACAATTGCATTAGATTGGGCACATCATTGGTGAAATGCGACGTTTGAACCAAGCCTAAGACCTTTTGGAAGAGCCGCAGACACAACCCATCCTCGAAAAGCGATTTGACAGCGTCGTTCTGGTCTCTTTTCAAAGCAGTCGTGTTTAAATTTCTAACAGCCGCTTCTCAGGTAAACCCCTCAATAATTTTCCCCTGTTTTTCTCAATTTGCATGCTGTGAATCTGATACTGCGTCAAGTTTCTGCTTTCCTACTTTTTTCCCAATACTTGTTTACAACTCGGCACTGATCATTATTCCCTGGACTCCTGGGTAGAATTTTCCCACCACGGGCAACTACCAATATTTGCATCCAAAAGTCAACGTTTACGCGTCATAACAAACCCACTAAACTTAAAAGCATCACTTGAGTATTTTTAAAGTGTTCACTGGAGGCAATCACAACAGAGGCGTATAATTAAATGAACTAATTCGCCATATGCGCTCTTCCCACGATGCACCTTGTTTGCCCCGATTACGGATAAGTGGAACGAGTTATTTCATATGGTGCAGAAATACAAAACCAATAAGGCAATTGCGAAACTGTTAGTTTCAAAGCAATTTAGACAACCACTCTATCATTGCGCAAAACGAAGCGGGTAAACAAATACTAACTGATTTGCCTAAATGATGTCTAAAATGATTTGTCTAAAATGAAACAAATACTTAATGATGCGATGATAATAAAGCTCACATTGTGGGTGGCTACATTTGGTATAGGGTTTAATGGCGCCGAAAACAATTGTAAACTTGCACACATTTTAGCCCCCCCCCCCCCGGGGGGGAGTTCTAGGCATCCTACTGATGAACAGTTACGACTTTTAGATAGTTCGAGCAGCAACAATTTGCCGTCTGTCCTCGTTGAATCGAAATACTAAATGACAATAAATAAAGCTCCACACTAAAAAAATTAAAGCTTGTTATAAAGAAAATATAGTAATATCGTTTATTCCGGGCATACGAATTTGTTCCCTTTCACCATGAGAGTGGTTTCTTCTTTGAGTTACGGCTACAGCACACGTGCAAACATCATTTGCAACAATAACAAGGATCTCTGGACGTAAACCGTTCTATTTTTACTTTAATGACATTGGCTCATATCCACCGTCCTTATCACTGTTATTTCCCCGAGGATTCGACAAAACCCTGGTATTTTCATATGGCCGTTGCTCCCTAACTGTGTTAATGGTGTCGTATAAGTGTTCAGACTCTTGGACATTCTGATAAATGTGTCCTTGCGGAGAAGCACTGGCTGCCACCCCGTTGCACCGTTCGAAACGACCTTTTTCCTGAGGGGGAGCCTGGGCTGGTATAGCCAGCGGACACTTGCCAGGTGACGCGACCAGTTGATCACGTGTGACATACCGTTGTCCGACATCACTTTTTACTGCGTTTTTGCTGTTTCCAGGGGGACACCCGATAGTGTCATACAATCGCTCATCGTTGCCCTCTTCGACTTTCCCTTGGCCTTTATTAAAATCAACGCGCAACTTGCTTTCTTCAGGATGATCTTCAGTTGGTAAAAGAGGGGTATTTTCGGCCTTCGCTCTGGCAAAATTACCTCTAGGTTTGAACGTGGCCACCACAGCTTGACCTGCATCGTGGGGCGAATTTGGTAGCAATCGCTCCGTCATAGATTCACCAGCGAGGCGAAGCTGAGACTGCGGGGGCTCGTATCTAATGCTAGAAATACCCCGCGTGACTACGCCATTTGAACTTTCTCTTGTGTAACTAACCTGCAGTGAAGTTTCGCCATTTTCATACTGTCTCCTCTTGCGCGTGCGCCGTCTTGCCAAGATGATGACAAGTATTAATATTATAAGCAACAAAAGACTACCAGCTGCTGATACTCCAATCAATAGAATCTTGTTACCGAAGCCAGATTTCGGATCGTTCTCAGCTATAAACGACAGAAAGTAAAATAAAAGTTATTTAGGACGGTTAATGGTGACACCTTGAAAATAGTCGCTGCATTGTCCCCGGCATTTATCAGGAAGAAAGTGATGATAAAATTAATGTTGCCTGCGTAGCTGGCACTGTTATCACCGTGGTATTTTGTCAGGCCACTGTCCGCGCGGGGGATTTTTAATTTGATTTCCTCCTTATCTTCTCGCTGCTCTGCCGCCAATACTACAGCACTAGCCTTGTTTCTACACAACTCGCCCGCTTATCCTTTTAGCAACGCAGGTTACGGGAAAGAATGTATCATGTTCTAACACATCTAGTACACAATGTTAGACATTTTGATGGGAGAACTGAGAAGAGGAAAGAAGTCACCATACTCTGACAAGACGATGGAATTGAAAAATCTGTATTTGTACAAGCCCCCTATTTTCACAACTGTGAAATTGAGATGAGCTTTATGTTCGTTTTTTCCAGCAATTTGCGAAATCGTTCTCACATCCGAATTGGGGAAGTATGACAGCATCCCAACAATTTTCAGTGAGACAAAAAGCTAGTAAAAAAATTGACCACAATACCTTTTTGATCGATGACCAATGCAGCTGAAGGCGTTGATTGATACGTAAAAGCTACTGTTTTTGTTTCCTCAACTGGTTTGGAATCAGTAGACATTGTTGTTTTAGGGACTCGAGAAAAGACCATACCTGTAACAGAGACAATCCTCGCTAGAATACTTCAAATCAGACTTGGGTGGCCAAACATGGAGTAAGCAATATAAACACATATAAATATCCTGAAACAGACCTTATTTATTGCCAGCGGAAGATTTTGGTTTACTCGATACCTCAAAGCAGCAACATGTATCCACATCATTGTAATCGTTTTTCATTCATGGCCAAATGGCGGAATCAATGACTGGTTGACTGACCACCTTACCCTCCCCTAAGTCACGATTTTGCCCTAAATGAGAAGTAAGTGTTAATGTTGTCTTAAGGGAGGGGTAGGTGGTCGGTTTCCCAGAAAACTCAATTGATCCCGAACTTCTTCTGCTCAATACTGCTAGTCTTTAAGGGGAGGGGATGGGAGGCAGACCAAACAGTCCCCCCCCCCAGCCCACTAATCAGTAGTTTACTTCTTTCAAACCCCGACATTTGGATCTGGCGGTTAAGCATGAATTTCAAATACCGGTATATTCCCCCTTAATTCAGTATATGGCCATTCAGGGAAATAATATAAGTGATACTTGGCAATTTATTTCTGAGAGGAGAATCAATGATCCACTGACCTGGTAATGTGCTAATAAGTTGTAGAGTTCTTGTTTTGGACGGTTCTGTTATTGCTGTCTTAGGCGTGTCTGATAAAACTGTAAGGAATAGAGGTCATTGAGAAAAAGGAGATATTTAAAAATGTCACGAAGATGTGGGCGGGGGGGGATAAATCAGAATCAGGGACCAGCTGCATAACACCTAACCGCAGTTTGACACAACGTTTTCGTCTTTCGTTCAGAATTGTTGTTTTGGTAACCTGAGAGAAGCTTTAAAGATATTCACGTGAACTGTTAGGCCAGGGCCAAACGTCGAACTTTTCGTGAGACGAACCAAACTTAGTGAGTTAAGTTCATGAAAATTTCGACTTCCGGCCCAGTTAAGTTCCTCTGAATGAGTTTGGATCATCCAACACGTTCTATCCGTCTGCTTTAGGCGGATAGAACGTGTGAAGATCATCTCACGCACAAACGTCGATCTTCACATGTGATGAACAAGACTAATAAATTAGAAATTTGAAATGTATATCTAGCCTCGTTCAGGAGAAAATTTATCACTGGCCGCCTAAAATTACTTTTTGGTCTGATTCAGTTGATCGTTTCGAGGCGTCGTAAGTTCGACGTCTGACCCAAAAACCGGTCTCAACTTAGGTCCACCTAAATCAGAGTTTGGTTTGCGGTCTCATGAGAAGTTCGACGATTGACCAAGGCCTTATACAGACTTGCATTCATGTGCAGCACTTAGGCCCGGTTCAGACGCCGCTCCACTCATGTGTCGAACCTAACTGATGAATTAAGTACGGCAAAAGAGCGGCGTCTGAATCAATTTGGTACGGCAGTTTTAGTTTGGTGCGGCAAAAGCGTCAAGTTCGACTGAGTCTGTCGAACGTTTGTCGAACTTAACTTAGGTTCGACACACGGTACGCCTTCTGAATCAGATGTCGCGCCAGTGTCGCTCCAAAGTCGAACTTATTCAGTTAGGTTCAGCACATGAAAAGTACGGCGTCTGAACCAGGCCTTACCTGTTTTCGGAGTTAATGTAGAAGACTTGGAACTCAGCTTTGTTGTTTTCTTCATTGTGCTTGTTGATATTACTGTGAAAAAAATCAGGCAAAGAAATTAATTTCATTGAGCTTCGAAAGCCTTCAGATATTAACGTAGTGATTGATTTAGAGCGATTGTCTCGGGAGGAATCCCATTTGAAACGGCGGGAAAATTTGTCGTCTCATTAAGGTACGTCAGTTCTAAATTATAAATGTTGGTATCAATTTTTAATACAGTTATCACGACGGACCGCGAATATTTACGCCATCGAGCCACCGCTCAGGGCTATGCATGAGGAGATAAAGAAAACAGCAGTAGAGAAGACCTTAAAAAACAACCAATGACAACTTAAA